GTTGGCTGACGGTAGGTTTTACAAGAGATGTGGTACATGTAAGAAAGACATAACCATAAGACTTACTCAGAGGCTTTAGCCTTGAATTAGTCACCCAGACGCAGGGGTGGGTTAATTGCGCCTCGAATAGCACAGATGGGGGGTGGCAGAGGTCGAGTGAAATACATGTACCAGGAAGATAGCAGACGGATTCGACTTGGAAAGAGGGAGACTTTGATAGGACCCAGGGAAGGACTACGTAACAATATGACAGACTATGGTCAACGTTTCCAGCACAAGGGTGAAGGGGGTGATAACACTATGGTTATAGCTAAGCCGATAGTTGACTACGGTCAGCTTTATATTTATACAATTTTCCAAGAGAAATATTTAATCTATATTAAATTAACATGTTTGTCAATGCCCTGTCTTTCTGATCTAGGATTTCAACACCCGGAGCCCGGGGACTCCGATTCTTGCTCAATAACTGTCGTTGACTCGTCACTGAGTGGAAGCGTTCTTGGATTTCAGCGCAAACCTGCCACTGGCCGCGCTGCACCCGACTTGCTTTCTCAACCGCGTCCTGCATTTGTGCCTTCCATCTCAGTATCCGGGTCACTTCCGCCTATTCCCCCGTCGTCATCATCATTCTCAACGACAGTGGTTCCTATTCCCCCAGCTATGTCAAAGCCAAGCTTATCTGTCGGAGCCAAGCATGCTACGTCTACAGGTCGCCGAAAATCCCATATACGGGAGGGTCGCATGCCTCGATGGCGTTCCGCTATTACGGGTAGTAATATCAGTAATAGCCAGGATAGTGCTTCGACTACCGAGACCGAACGCGAATCCTGCGTGGTGGATAACAAAGAAAATAATTCATATCCTGTTTCGAGTGGGTGAGTGCTCATTCTCTCCAGCTGTATCGCGCTGGTCATTTTTAAAGATTGCCTTACTATCGAAGATATACAGGTCAGATTACGAATATTGTAGCTCGAATCTCTTGAACCTCTTATTTAATCAATTCTATTCTTTTTTATGCCACCTCACTTCCTCATTTAATTTGATTATCTTGTCTATCGATGCCTGTAGTAGTTAATAACGTTGAATAGGGTCAAACTACTCTTACTCTTTAATATCTGTCCTGTGAATGATTCTATGTATACACATATATTAAACGAATTCTAAAATAAGTTGAACATTATTAATAAAGCACTCTATTTTTTCATTCAACCACACTTACTTTCATTTCATTATCATGCTAAACTTTGTGCAGATAATGCTTTATATGTTTTTAGAAGCCTAAGTGTTGGAAATTCTTTTATTAGCAGATTGGAATCCAGCCCCATTCCACTTTTGGGTGCACTTCTTTTTTGACTTTTATTCAAAATTATTTGTTAGCTTTGATATAATGGCCAAATCTTTTCTGGTTAAAGTCATTAAACCTGATTTTGATCTTTTTATCTCAGTTGTATACTATCTCTTTTCATGCCCTTATGCATTTAGTTTCTTATGAAAAATAAGTTAGAAATTAGCCTCCTTGGAAGCTGGAGGAGGATTGCCTCAAATTTTGATTGTCTACCTGTGCTTAGTAGTCCTCGGCTGTGAATTCGTGCTGCGTTCTTGCCTGTGATATGACGGACATCGTTAGAAGGAAAAGGTATTCTTTCAAAGACTCCACTAGGCACAAAGCGAAGAATTCTTGGCTATCGGAGTACTTTTACACTCATATCGAATATAAAGATAATCCTCCTTTAGTTTCCAATAAGGCCAATTTAAGAATACCTTTCACCCAACTTTTACTTAAAAAATACATACTAATGGCATTCCAATAAATGTTTTTCGTCACCGAAATCATTCGTAAACTTTATATACCTTACTTATACTGAATTTCTTTGCTCAATGCAACGATACTGATTTCCACAATGCGATTGCGTTTTTTAGATCTCGAATTATTTGAGGCTTGAAGTATGAATATGAATGCGTTTTTACTTAATGCGGATTGTATTTTATTTATTTTGTTTTCCTTGCTTTGTCTTTTAAATTAAAACAAACTGAAGTATTTTTTTGCAGTGAGTCGATAAAAGGCTTCTTTAATACTTGAATCTTAAACCTCTTATTCAGATGCAAAATTAAATCTAATATTCTAGAATTTTGGATCATCTATCCACCCATGAAATAATATACGCCTTCTGCTATTCACCTTTAAAAGTGCTTTTTAAACTAAATGTTTTTATGCTTTCACTCATAATTTTCCTTAACCTTTTTTTGCCATAGAACAAATTTGCTTATCTAGTTAGTAACTATCTTCCTCTTCTTTTTTTAGATCCAGAAAAAAGTGGCCAATTGTTGGTGGCATCTTTATTTCTTCGACATCTGACAATAACTCTTAACTGCCCTAAAGTGCCTCTCACTACCATCTATATCCCTCTGCTTAGTTTGACTGCAAATACATCAGACATTGTAGCATCTTCCGTTCTAACCTTCCTTGGCTTTAGCAGCACTTAATGCTCTCTCTGGCCCTTTATTCAAACACTACAATCTATAGAATTTGCAGGACGAATACTATCTCTTAACCTTCATCGCCATGTTGCATAAATGTTTGTCCTATGCCCTACAGATTTCTCCCCACGAGATACCTTTATTTATATGCACTCTCTTTACTTTCAACTGGCAATCAGAGAAGATTTTATTCCCCCGTGCTTTCAGTTTATTATAATACTCTCTTCCTCCCATTATTTATCTCTCCACCTACTGACTTGCATATATTAATATCTCTGTATAGTGTCTTCTGTATATATATATATATACATATATATATATACAACAAATTCTATTATTCAGGATTATTCATTTAGTTTAACCTCTTGACTTAATTTATTTATACTATTTTTATTTTCTTTTATCTATTACTTAGGCACACAGGCGCATTAGAGCTGCTATAAGTGTATGCAAACACGCGCACGCATTTCATTATATATATATATATATATTGCTTTTTTCTTTATTTTTACCTATATTTGCTGTTCTTAGTGGAAGCTCCATA